AAGGTTAACCACGACACTTACCTCGATTTGCAACCAACTCAAGATTCCAATACACCTTTGCCTTGCGAATTAGTGTCCAAAAGTTTCAAATCTAGTCACAAATAATTCAATATACTCAACACGATTCGTAGGAATTAATTCCACATGAAATTACTAATTTTCTGAATTAAAACCCGAAATTCATCTCAAAATTCAACAGTGGGACCCACATCTCAAATCTCGGAAAAACTCACGAAATCCGAACACCCTTTCCGAGACGAGTCTAGCCACATAAAAATTATCAATTTCCGATGTCAAATGGGTCTCCAAATCCTAAATTTTTATTTTTGAAAAGTTTTACAAAAATCTCACCTTTCTCCATTTAAATCCGAAATAAACAATGAATTTAACCATGGATTTATGAAATATAATCAATATATGATAAAGAATACTTACCCAGTTTGAAGTCACGAAAAACCCCTTTAAAATCGCCCAAATCCGAGACTCAACTCAAAAATGAGTAAAAATGGCTAACTCTCGATTTTATGGATTTTGTCTAGGCTTTTACGCATTTGCAGGCACAAATGCCGCATCTATGAGCTCGCATTTGCGAAGTGAGGCTGCCAGAAAAAATTCCGCATTTCCGGACTTCAATGTCGCACCTGCGACATCGCAAAAGCGACCAAACGACCGCAAAAGCGGTCTCTTCCGCAGAAGCGCTTGAGCCTTCGCAGAAGCGGTCGCGCATCTGCGCCTCATTTCTCTACAAAAGCGAAGGAACTGGCCAGTGCCCAAGTCGCAGAAGCGACCAGCTTCTCGCAGAAGCAGCTGCGCATCTACGGCTCCCTCTTCGCAGGTGCGAAACACCAGAACCACACACGCATATTTTTAAAAAATAATCCGAAACACGTCCGAAACTCACCCGAGCCACTCGGGACCTCGTCCAATTATACCAACCAGTCCCGTAATGTAATACGGACTTACTCGGGTTCTCAAATCACATCAAATAACATCGAAATTACAATTCACACTTCGATTCGAACTTTTGAGTTTCAAACATTTCAATTTACAAAACTCGTGCCGAAACGTATTAAACGATTCGAGAATGATTTCAAATTTGGCGCACAAGTCATAAATGACATACCAGAGCTATTCTAACTCTCGAAATCTCAATCCGACCCCGATATCGATGAAGTCAAATTCGCGGTTAAACTTTGGAATTTTTAAGCTTTCAAACTTTCAATTTTCAATAAATGGCGATAACTCAAGCTAGGGACCTCAAAACTAAATTCCGGGCATACGCCCAAATCCCAAATCACGATACGGACCTACCGAAACTGTCAAAATACTGATCCGGGTCCGTTTGCTCAAAATGTTGACCGAAGTCAACTCAAATGAGTTTTGAAGTAATATTTTACATTTTAATCAATTTTTTCACATAAAACTTTTCGAAAAATTTACGGACTATTCATGCAAATCGAGAAAAGCTGAATGGTGCTATTTAAGGTTTAAGAACACATAAATAATTATTAAATTTAAAGATGGCATATCGAGTCATCACACCTAGTTTCTTAAACTTGAGAAAACACCCAATTTGAGTCTTTGAAATGTTAAAGTTAAACCCATTGGTTAGCTATAAGTGGATAATATGAATTTTATTCATATTTGATCCATTTTTGAAAAGTTCATTATCCAGCTCATTTTTAATGAATAATACGGTTGAAAAACTATTTTTCTATCCATTTTGCCACCACAAATCAGAAGTAATCAACATCGGAGGGAAGTGCCCATTTTTCTGGTTCTTTTTCTCTTTTGGGAGGAAGAATGTCAAATTTTTCATTAATTTGCATAAGTCCTACTACTATATCATTGCTAAATAATAGACTGATTAGAGCAATTATGTGGATTCAAGGATATATTATTCAATGCATGATTTTATGTACCAATAGCGGTGGTAGATTAATCATTTCTTTTTAAACAGAATTGCATGATATTCTAATTGTTCTTTGACATAAACTTTTTGCTTCCTATATCTTAGAGATACTATGGTTTCTGAATTTTGGTTGTCGCTGTTCTTTGATAGGATATTGTTGGAAATGTTCATACAGATTTGTACTCGCCACAAGAAGCAATTTTCCATAAGTTGCATTTAAAATTCTATTAATTTCAATATGTCAATGTGACTAGGAAATGATTTTGTAAGGCCTATAACTTATAATAACTTCTATAAGTTGCGTTGCTAACCTCTCTCATAAGTATATACACATATTATATATATAGGGATTAATATAACATCATGTGTTGAAACAACCTACTTTTAATTTTTGATATGTCTCTTTTAATGCTTATCAGGTATATTTTCATTTCCTTTTGCATTCTAATAGCATGTTTACCAAGTTTCTTTGCGGACAAAAGTGCTATTTTTGCCAAAGTTGTTTGGTCAAGTTTTTAGAAGTAAAAGAGTGCTTTTGAGTGCATAAATGGTTTTTGAGAAACAAAAAAAAGTATAGCTTTTTTTCAAAAATATTTTTGAGAAAAATACACTTGGAAGCACTTTATAAAAGTTTGGCTAAACATTATTTTAAAAAAAAATACTTTTGAGAAAAATATTTTTCAAAATAAACTGATTTTAAATGCTTGGCCAGGTTATAATTCTCTATGATCTCCAAAGCCAAACGGTTCACTATTTATTTTCCATGAATTTTCTCCAAGCCTCACTTTACACTTGAAACAATTACACAACATATTCGGTGTATTTTTTTTGCAGACATATACACGCATGTGTGTGTCTAAATATGCACATAATTCATAAATTGACGAACCCTTCAATCAGGGAGATCACATGGCATGTTTTCTGTTTACAAATATCAAACACTACTCACTAAATCTCCAAAATTTATAAATTATAGTATAACCCAACGTACGATTGTGCTCCCATATAAAATTAGGAAGTTGCCGGTCCATATTAGTGTTTTAGGTAACATATAGTTCCCTACCATTTTTATCTCATGTGACCGACCATTTAGCCTTCATTGACCTGGCATTGCTCCTCTATTTACTATAAATTAAAACTACTACCCCTTTTGCTGATCAAAACAACTAACTCAAAAAATTGACTCTTCAAAAAGAGCAAAAGAAATAATGGCGACAGAACTTGAAATTACTGAGCTAAGATTGGGAATTCCAGGGGAAAAGAAAAGGGTGTTTTCAGAGATTGACAATGATCGAAGTAGCAGCAACGTTAACGACGATGATGATGTTAAGTGTCACAACAAAAACCAAGTTGTTGGTTGGCCGCCGGTTTGTGCTTATCGGAGAAAGAATTATAGCTTTAATAATATTTGTGAAGGATCGAAAATGTACGTGAAAGTTAGCTTAGATGGTGTCCCTTTTCTTAGAAAAGTTGATTTGGGAACTCAAAAGGACTACTCTGAATTTGTGATGAATCTTGAAAAGCTCTTTGGTTGCTATGGCATTTGTAAGTTTTGTTGCTTCTTCGGTTTATTAAATTATGCCATGCAAAATTGCAAAACAAAAACTTTACTGATATACTTTAACCGCATTATGAAATTTATCATGTCACTTAAGCGACATTAAGTTCCAAGTATCTTTTTATAGCAAATGTCAATTGATAACTTGTAAAATACTAATATATTATTACAACAAGTGAAAATATACTGATAGTAAAAAATGTTCTTTTGTACTATTTGTGTAAAAATTAAAAAAGAAAAACATGAGGAATATTGGGAGTCAATTGATTTTGTGATTTTTTGCAAACTTATTTTTAGTTTTATGACTATTTTTTATTTTTTGTTTACACATGAGAGATTTACTTTTACACGTAAAAAATCAATCATTTACCCACAAGAGGTCTAAAAATATTATTTTTTTAATTTTAAAATTGTAAAAATACATAATGTACTAATAGTTATAGTGAAATTAGTACATACTACTACAAATATTATAAAGAAGGTTTAGAAAGACAAAGGGAATAATGAGATTGGGAAAATATGGACAGGCGAAGCGGTGAAAGATGGAGACAGTTCAGAGTACATTCCTATATACGAGGACAAAGATGGAGACTGGATGCTTCTCGGCGACGTTCCCTGGGAGTAAGTTCAGTTCTCTACCTCTACACTAAAATTAGATACTTACCTTAATTAACTGACTCCTAACTACTGAACCTCAATTAATTTATATTTTATACTAACTGTTTCTTTTAAGTTTTTACTATTCCAATATATTAAAAATAAGTTATTTTTAACTTATTATTTTGCTTTTTAACTTATTATTTTGCGACAGTTAAAATGGGAAGGACGAAGTATTACTTTGTTGGTAAGATTTTAGTTACAATTAATAAAGATGATTTAGTAAAACAAATACCGGACTGGAACTCCATTATAATATACTGGAGTTCCAGCATAATATACTGGTCCAACATAATATGCTGGAAGTTCATACAC